GGTTAGGGTTAGGGTTAGGGTTAGGGTTAGGGTTAGGGTTAGGGTTAGGGTTAGGGTTGGAATAAGTCCAAACTCCCTACAAGGTGACTGCCCTTCAGCTATTTCAGGGTTTCTCGACCTTGGTGACTTTAAGGCATGTGGACTTCAATTCCCATAATTCCCCAGCCAGAATATGGTGGCTGGGGGATTCTGGGAGTTGGAGTCCACATATCTTAATGTCACCAAGGTTGAGAAACCCTGTGCTATTTGAAGACAGCTATTATGTCCAGCCAAGCCATTCAGCACTTGGTCCTCTACATCAGATTCTCCTGTTTTAATACTGACTTTTGGGGAAAAAATTTTTCCCCAATTGTTCCCAACACCACATCCAGGCTGGATTCTAGTTGCAATGTTCTCCCTGGCCGGAAGCATCACTTCTTCCTTGTGGCCAAGAAGGAACTGCTAATATTCCCTTGGGTGTCAATGGAGGAAACTTGTATTACTTGCTAATGCATTCCTTTACACCTCTTGAAATTCTCTTTGCAGCTTTCCAAGCTGATTAAATATTTGTGGTTAAACATAGAAGTGATCATACCCATAGGACTGGTAGATAAATGCTGAAATATTTGCTCTGAGCTACATTTTTCTGATGTCTGTTCAAAAATAACTTCAATGAAAACAAGGATTTCCAAATACTATTTTCTTATCACCAGTTCCAAGAGATTACTCAGAAGATCTCCTGGGTATACATTGGAAATCTGAATGTTTTTCTTTTCACTCCCCACCATAGTTTTGATACAAGATGTTGGGAAATTAGGAGAGCACTTTTGTAAACTGTGGAACCCCATTTAAAAGGAGGGCCCTCGTAGAAGAAGCCCACGGTGGCCTTATTTGCCAGCAACACCAATGTATGAACCACCAGTGGCCAAAGGCTTATTATTCATGCTTTTATTTCCTTTATGCCTGTGTACTGGTCTAAAAATAAAGCTTTTGATTCCTATGGAATAATTATCTAGTTTGGTGCAGGAATCCAGAAACCCCAGCCTAACCAAGTAGCAAAGCCGGAGCCACAGTAGGCTCAGCTCTCCCACATCCCTCCAGTGAAGTGTCTTCAAGTCCCTCTGGTTGAGATGCACACCCCCCCCCTTTCCTTCCAAAGAAGACGGGGACCATCTCACCGGATAATGGGCAGAGTTCCCAACGGTGGGCATCCAAATGCTTTTGAGCAGCTAATGTGGTATGAAGTGGAGAGCCAATTGGCATGGAAGATGATTTCAGTATACGATGACTGTGGCGAGATTACTCTGTGCACAGAGGTGGGAAGATTCAGCGCTCCCCACCACAGAGGAATGGTTGGTGAAGTTCACGGATTTTGCTGAAATGGACCAGCTGACTTCTTTGATTAGAGGGAAGACATTATCTACATTTATTGGTGACTGGAAGCCCCTTATGGACTTTTCGCGTAAAAATGAAAAAAATGAACTTGCGATTTATGCTTTTGGTGATTAGATAGGATAGATTATAGAAAGAAGAGAGACATGATGTACCTTCAGAGAGAGAGGTTAAAGTATAATTGTACTCATAACTGCTGTGAAGAATATGAGAAGCTACTTCTTTATATCTTTTTTCTTTTCTATTTTCCTTCAGCCTTTTTCTTTTCTTTTCTTGCACTGAGAAGCTACTTCTTTATATCTTTTTTCTTTTCTATTTTCCTTCAGCCTTTTTCTTTTCTTTTCTTTTCTTGCACTTTTTGCTTTTTTCTTTCATTTCTTCCTTTTCCCTTTTTCTTCCTTATGTTAGTTAGCAATAGTTTTTATCTTCTTCTTTAAATGTTTTAATAAAACTTATAGATGTGAAGTGAAGAGCCAGTTGTGCCCTTGGAACCTGATGCTCTGAAAGCCCCTCTCTGAATGGAGGGCCTGTTGAGCATGTACAGAGGAGCCGCGAGTTCAGCTGAGCCCCAGGGAAGCCTAGCAGCAGAGAAGTGGAGTGCCTGCTCTCCCCGGCCCGCCAGTCGTGTCCAGCATCTTCTCCACCGCAGCCCCAGCTGCTCAGGTGAGCAGGTCGAGGAAGCCTTTGCTCCTCCTGACCCTGAACACCGCGCCTTGGGATGAGAGGGCTGGGACCCAGACAGCTCCACTGAGAAATAGAAGGGGGACTCAGGCTGGTGGGTTTAGCTAAAGGGACACAGAAGATGATAAAGAAGGGAGTAAGTTCAGTCTGAAGAAAGATGAGGCTCGAAGGTCTCCAAGAGGCAAGTGGACCTTTTCAGTTCAAAAGCAGACCCCGGAGGAGCTGAGGAGCTGAGAAAGCATCGTCACATTTATTACAAGGTGCCACCTGTCTGATAGACACCTCTACGAAGAGATGGGAATGCGTAAAAACCGAGGAAGAGTTGCCAAGCCAATATCGAGTGAATTTCATCCTGTTTCCTGAACTGAGTCCAAGTGTTGTGGAAAGACAATAAGGTTATGACGGGAATAAAGTGGGCGTGACATTCTGTTTTCCGCCTTTGGTTCACAAAGTGGTGTGTCTAAGTGAATATTATGCAGGGGGCGATAATCGGTGTTAAGTCATTAGCAGGCTGTTTAATTTAATGTTGCTCTATAAATGAATCGGTGTTTATTTGCATGCATATTTTGGTGAGAGGGGGATTAAAAACACACACTCACTCACTCTCTCTTTCTCACACACACAAACCAGAACTCCTAACAACAACATAATGATGTTATGATGACACTAAGTAAGAGCAAAAATTGCAGCTGTCGTTCAGAGCTTAACTGCTTGTTCATTAAAAAAATATAAACACTTTATAACCAGTAGAGATTTTTAAAACGTACAGAATATCTGTTGCTGTCATTGTTGAACTCAGCAAGAATGCAGTTGCAGGGAGCAGGGCCCTGCTGGAGAACAAACCCTCTCAATTAAACCAGGGGATTGGGGGTGTACTTGTGCAAGGGTCACGAGTGCAGAGATTACTTGTGTGCAATTTCTGTAAAGAACACTTCTGGCCTGCAGCCCCTCTCCTTCTTTCTTGTGGCCTTTAGAGCAATCTTGAACGACAAAGGACTGGCCCAGAGTAGCCATATTTAAAGTGGTTCTCAGCAGGCTGGCCAGTTGGCTGCGGGAGGAGACACTGGCACTCAGCAACACTTCTGGATGAATCTGTGAGTTTCTTTTTGCAGGATCTCCACTGACCCCCCTCTAACTGCTACAGAGGAGCTGGTGGTCAGACAGGAGCAGGTGCCAAGGGGAAAAGTTGGTGGTCCTTGGCACAAACACGGAGCCAGGGATCCAAGGGCGCCTCTCTTGAACTTCCACCAAATCCCCAAAGCAGGAATTCTGAAGAATGTGGGTAGTGTAATATAGGAGCATATCAGAAGCAGATTGTGAAGGTATTTTTAAAACCATCCTCTGCGCTGTTCCACAGAGCAATGGCCTGGATGAATCTGGACATCTGATAATCCCTTGAGAGAGGAACCCTCAAGTCCTTCCCAAGAAGTTCTGATGGGAGTTCAGAAATTCGAACCCGTTCGCAACTGGCCAATATTGTCAGCCTGGTTCAGGAATGGGCGGGGGGGGGAGAGGCAGGGGGGCAAGAGGGCCCCGTTGCCAAAGCAAAGAAGACCCTCTTCCTTGAGGCACCTTGAAACTACGGTTCAGTTCCTACATCTCCCCCTGGGATGGGCAGGGTCACCTTAGAGATGCTGTGGGGTTTGTCCATTAGGCGCGGGCTCCATTATTCGTTACTCCAGAGGAATTCTTGGGGTGTGTCTCTCCCGTAAGAAGCCATGCCGTATCCCTATGGCGGGATGTTCCTGCTTGTTAAGGCAGGAAGAGAGAAACAGGAAGGGAGTAATAGGAAGAAGAAGAAGGAAAAGCTCAATGCATCAGCACTGAAAAGACTTTCCAGGGATGTCCACGGGGGGTGGGGGGAGGTCAAGACAGTCAAGATGGCTGCCATAACCATGTGAACAAAGCCTTGCTCTTGGTTATGCGTGTCCCCTTCCCTGCAGACACCACTCGCGGAAGACCTGGCTCTTTGGCCGGGGTGGTTGAAGCCCCCTCTGAGTATTGCGTACATGTTTCTGTTGCTGCCCAGTTTTCCTGCCTTTGCTCCTTTGTCTTTATTCTTATATGGTTTTATTGTTATTGTTTTCTGTGTTTTTCACTCTGTGAACCAGCAGCCACCCAGAGTTGCTGGGAGTCAGGCGGTGTACATTTTATGATTATTGCGATGATTATTACGGAAGAGGCTCAGGGGCAAGGCATGCTTTACAGAGACCCCTTTCTTAAGAAGAGAGGCCCACTGTCGCAGCAGAGAGTCACAACCACCGAAGAGGCACGTGCAAATCCACACACACACCCCGGCGGTCCCGCTGCAGCTCCTTCCTCCAGTCATGGGCAGAAAGTTGTGCCACCAGTCTGGATGCTGACAGCTCTGGCTGCAGCTGCGTTGCTTTAAAGTGGCCTCCGAGAAATCAGGGCGGGCAGGCAGCGCCAGGCTTGGGGGAAAGGTTGCTTTTCAGAACAAGGAAAAACCTTTAATGGGAGAAGCGTGGAGCATCAAAGCCAGGGACCAAGGAGTATCTGTTGAAAAATGAAAATGGGGGGGAAAGGGCTGGGGGGAGGAGGAGGAGGGGAAATTTGCTTTAAGTAACCATACCGAACTTTAGTGTCTGCCCCATTGGAAGAAAGAAGGGGTGGGTAAGGCAGTGCGCATCCTTGTGTTTACAGGACATGCACTACTCGTTACAAAGGCTCCCATTTTCTCCCATCTCAAGAATGTCCCACAGTGATCTTTTGAGATAAAAGAATAATATCTTGGATGGATGGACGGACGGACGGATGGATGGATGGATGGATGGATGGATGGATGGATGGATGGATGGATGGAGGAACCTCAGTTGGCCAGGTGTGCAATGCCTTCTGAATGCTGCTTTTTTTTTTATTTCCTTCCTTGCTCACACAGTGCACAAGCTGGAGGAAGGGTTGCCCGGCCAGGGTCAATCTGTCTAACCCAGAAGCCTCAGGCTGGGTGGACAGGGAGGCTGAAAAACAGCTGAGTCCAAGAAGCCAATAAAATGCTAAAACTCAAGTGCAAAGTCACCTCATGAGCCAGGTGAGCAAAGTACATTCAAGCTTAGAGTGATGTGAGACTCTAGCCTGGGTGTGATTGGATCAGTGGGCCAACACTCGGACATGTTGTTAGACACGACTACATGTAGACGGAGAATAATCTCTTTTTTCCCTCACTAAACTTTCTTCCCCCAAATTCTGCATCTACGACAAAAATGCACCCTTGTATAGGACAGCGTTAAGTAAATAACTTACACGCAAATCAAAACAGATCAAATCAATCTCCGAGGAACAGTATCTATTCAATTCCAATATATAATAAAGTCGTCCCATTTATCTGATTTATCCAGTGTATTCCCACTCCAATACGCTTCATATCAATTTTACTTCTTTGCTGCTTCCTTGTCCAATGTAGCTTTTCTCTGTCATTTCAATAACGCTTCTTGAATTGATGAGATCTGTTGCTAGGATTTTACTGAAACCCTTTGAAAAATGCATCGCTGAGGAATATTAGCTCGGCATGAATTAAAAAACCAAGGGTGGGGGTCCAAGGGGGTTCTTAAAAGTTGTAGAACTGTCTTCCTGTTTAGCCTTCGGTAATCCTGAACTGATAGCAACGCCATAGGACGGCACCCTGTCCTTTGAAGACCACATTTCAAAGGTGCAGATTAACTTGGGAGGGAGATGTCATCTCCTACAGCAGTGTTTCTCAACCTTGGCACCTTTAAGCTGTATGGACTTCAACTCCCAGAATTCCCCAGCCAGCGGGCTGGCTGGGGAATTCTGGGGGGTGAAGTCCCTACAGCTTAAAGGTGGCAAGGTTGAGAAAAACTGCTGTAGGAGATGACATCTCCCTCCCAAGTTAATCTGCACCTTTGAAATGTGGTCTTCAAAGGACAGGGTGCCGTCCTATGGCGTTGCTATCAGTTCAGGATTACCGAAGGCTAAACAGGAAGACAGTTCTACAACTTTTAAGAACCCCCTTGGACCCCCACCCTTGGTTTTTTAATTCATGCCGAGCTAATATTCCTCAGCGATGCA